CAAAGACTCCAATGAGTCAGGATATTTGCAAAATGGATACTCAAAGTCCCAAGTTTGATAAGGTCATATATCAATCTTTGATTGGTAGCTTATCATACATTAGCAATTGGTCAAGGCCAGATATTGCTTATAGTATTAATCAGCTGGCACGACATAATAATGATCCGCTTCAATGTCATTGGAATGCATTGAAGAGAATCTTAAGATATCTTAAAGGAACATTACACCATGCACTGTATCTTGAACCAAAAGGTGATCTCATACTGAGTGCTTATGCAGATGCTAGTTTTGCATCAGAAAGAGACACAAGAAAGTCGACTTCAGGAACAGCCATAATGCTGGGTAAGACATTAATAGGTTGGAAGTCAATAAGACAACAGCATATAAGTTTGTCTACTATGGAGGCAGAATTCTCCTGTTTATCACTATTATGTACTGAATTGATTATGTATAAACAAATGCTGAATGATATGGGTATAACTGTAAATTATCCTATAATTGTACATGAAGATAATCAGGCAGCAATTCAAATGGCCACAAATATTGCAGTAAAAACTAGGAGCAAGCATACAGATTTAAGGTACCTAAATGTTAGACAATCTGTAACGAGTAAAATGATACAGCTGGAGTACTGCATGTCGGAGGACAATATAGCTGATAATTTTACTAAAGCCCAAGGTGCCATTAAGCACCTAGAGAGTTGTGAAAAATATGGGTTTAGAATGTAAGGGTATTATATATTTATATCACCCAAAGGGGGAGAATGTTGGGTATATGGATACACCAACTGGTTTGGGTGACTAAATATATAAACCTAGGTTTAAGTGTTTGTAGCTTTAAGCACAAAAACTGCAATGTAATTTGATAATTAAGGGTGCGGTTGCAAGCAGCAGTAATAAGGCAGTGAGAGAGACGTAACACTTCCTGGTTGCTGATTCCTGGTTCCTGGTGTTACTGGTCGCTGGTCTGCTATCTGCTGCCTGCTGTTTACTCCTGTATGAGACATCTGCTTGTTGGCTACTGTGCTGGATACCGTTTCTACAAAAGGACTGTTTACTTGGTGACCTGATATCCTGTGCATACTCAGCGTTGTCTTCGAGAGAAAGGTATCGGGAGGAGAAGATTTACAAGCAGATAAAGACATTGTACTGACTAGTTAATGGACTAGGTTACTGGATGGATATATTGGATAAATGACATATGGACTGAATGACACTGCTTAAACTCTGTGTGAATTAAATAACTATTTAAAACCACAAACAGTGTTTTTGTCTCCAGTGTGTGTATACTCTTGGGCCCAGCCTCTCTCTCATTTGGCTGCCTGGCTTGACTGCTGCTGTGCACTCTGCTTGGGGGTTTGTCCCCAAACACTAACAGAAAATATACGAGGTCAAACAAGAAGTGAAAGAATCAGCAATGAAATGGGTACCGAATGAATGAAGATTGGATACAAAAATGTATGTTCAGTCCTACAGAGCAAATGAATAAGGAACAAATCAGTAATCAAATATATGAAATGTAAGTAAAAGAAGAGAAAGATCCAGAAAGTTGTGATGAAACGAATTCAGATTCTCAGAAATCAGAAATTAAAAAACAGACAAGTAAACAAAATATAGTACTTGAATTTATGTAGAGATCTGGTAGAAGCATGATTTTCAAGGAGATATAGATTTGAAAGAATGGTTTTGGTAAACTAGATTTACCTAGCTTTCCTTTTTCTTAACCTCCTAGTTTTAATTTAATTATGTACTACCAATGACTCTTATTTGTAATGCTGTTTAATTCGAAGGTATCAGAATGATAGGAATATAAGTGTAGACAATCTGACAACAATAAAAACATCTAAATAATCTTAAGTGAGTTGTCTGTCAACTAATTAATAGATTGGATAGTTTTAATCCACTTGCTGAAATGAGCTTGAGCCTTTGTCTCTGAACATCGATTTACAATACATAAAATGCATTTTCTAGGTATAAGAACAACTAATATAAAATAAATTATGAAGCAAAACTATTTTTTACTAATGAAGAAAAACAACACAACATCCTATGGGTTAAAATAGAAATAAATAACTCTAACTATGCAATTCATGATAGATAATTCTTGCATATCAAGCAATTTACAATTTTGGAAACCATGGATATCTAAATAGCTCAATAACAATCCTCTGTAATGCTAGTGCCAGACTACCCTTATTTAGACATTCTTCCTATAAATAACAATTTAAGGAATTTAGAGAATGGAGAGCCTAAAAGAATATGCAGAATGAGACGTTTATTTATAGGCAAGAAAGCCATTTGTCTTAAAGAAATAGCCAATTAGGAAATGCATGTATAGATCTGTATCTATAAAAGCATTTTAGTAAGGAAATAAATAATTTCTCCCTTTACAAATTTTAAAAAGCTAAGTATTCTTTCATTAATTAGCCCAAAATGTTATTAAAAATTTATTCTGCATATTTTTAAAGAGCCATTATAAATAATGATGAATAAAATATGTTTACAAATGGCACTAGAAATCAATACTTTATTTCTGCACAGAAATTTAGCTAAACTATTTGAAATTGCCAATATGCTATAATTTTAGTTGTATAAATATCATTCTTACAGACAGCATGTCCCTAACCACACTTAAACATCTCAGAAATTTAATAATGTAAGGTAAAAATAAACCAGAAGATACGATTAAGTTATAAACCAAATAAACATAACCAGCACATCAGTGTTGTTGAAAACCAGCAGTTATGGGTTAATGTGAAATAAGAACTCATACAAAGGATTTTATTAGCAAGCTTATTATGTAAATGCTAATTTAACATGGTTTTTTTTTTACTTGCAGCAAACGTAAAGATAAACAGATGGCTCTGTTTTAATTTAATTCCCCAATGAGTTTTGAGCAAGCACCCTAGCATATGATGCAATAGTCTAAAATTAAAATAAATGCTTTTCCTTATATTCAAGTTTGTTACTTATTCCAATGTCATACTATTTCAGCAGTTAAAATCTAATGTTTGAAAAATGGAAGGAAATACATATAATTTCATTCTTTCTACTGAGCATCAGAAATGCTCTTTTTACTATTCTTCAGGTTTAATCCCAAGTTTTGGTTTAATTGGATGTTATATTTATGTATTATTTATGTATTATTTTATTGAAACACAAATCAATTGAAGTTTTTGGGGTTGCTGTGATATATACTATTATAGATCTATATATTATATTCTATTTTATGGTAGTGACCTGCTATTATGTAACCACATTTATGATGACTTTGTCTTCTAGTTTTTGGCAAAACTGCACCCATATTGAACCATTGGTTCACTTCAAGATCATGGCCTTTGCTTGGTGACCACCAAATTCAATATGAGGACTATGAATATGATATATGATGTGATGTGATGTATGATAATAAGGTATAATAAAATATGATATGATATAAGATATATATCATTTTCAATTAAATTATAATCATGTTTATCTTCAACTAATTTAAGGTATACAGAGTTTCCTATACTGTATAACATAGCATTATAATTAGTATTAAAGAAGAAAGTCCTATGAATGGATTTATTTTATCATATATAAATACTTCTTCATTCCTGTAAGATAAAGGCATATAACCAACCCATTATCTACCTAAATGTAGAGATCAGTACAACACAGAATGAATAGCTCCCGTAAGGAAATCCATACAATTAAAAAATGAAATCCTATTAAATCTAATATATGTGAATATTTTTAAATGCTATTTAATTTTTATTTCTGTTTTCATTTACACTATATTTTCCTGAAAGGAAGAAAATTCTGATTTTATGGCAATTTCCTTTTATGCAAGAAAGGCTACTGAATTAACAGAATTAACTGAATCATTCCTGAAGATGTTAGATCTGTCTAATGTGAAACATATCCCTGTTTAGATTACTGCAATGTATAACTTTGTATACCTATAAACCACTGACTACTGAAAAATAAATAGGTGTTCTCTATGAGTATATAAGAAATCCTTCTCCCTGCCACCCTTCCCAGACCATAAGTATTTATTTAATTGCTAAGCTTGTAATATTTAAAATTGATACCTGCAAGATAATACACTTCTAATTAAAAGAAAGTAGCAGTACTTTGAATATCCAATAGGTCATTTTAGCAGCAATTTATTTAGCAATAAATTACTTTAGTGAAAACCTATTCTAGCCAGATTTGAAAATTCTCTTGAATTATAACTTTAGTCTGTATATGTATTTTATACACTAATCCATATTACCTAGAGTGGATCAACAAAACAGTACAGCTTCTTCTCAGTTTGATACTCTTCAATGTATTGGACATCAGCTCATAAAATTCATAGCGAGATAGCCAACATTAAATGGCTAAATAATCTTGGTTGGAGCCAAGCACTACTTCTTACACCCTCCTTCACACATTATTTTAAAGCTTAGCTCCTCTTTTAATGCAAGATTTTTCTTTCCTTATGTCCAGTAGCATCACTTAATAATTTGGATCACGCTGATCACATTATTTTTTTAAAGAAGTCAAATACTTATTACATTTCACATTATCTTTTTAAATGATCTGTTTAGTACACTTTTTAGTGACTTTAATTAATAAATAAACAATCATCCTCAAAACACTTCCAATTTAAAATTATTCTGGATTTGGATTCTACTTCTCAGCAGCAGTTCTGTGAACAGAATATTCTTAATGTGAACTCCCACTGGCATTTCTATACCTCCACAATTGCATACATGCTATCATGTATACCTGATACCACTTCCTATATAAGCCATCCACCCCACCTAAAGCATATTTTTTTATTTTATAATAACTTCCATATATTGGAGTGGTTTTGATTTTCAAGTAGCAATCCAACTTTTCCAAGGACTGTAACCATATAATTTGAGAAGCATAAAGGTTCTTCAGAGTCAACAAGATATTGCAAATAAGATATCCGCTGTAATTACAAAAAGAAGGGAGATAAAATTGAGAGCAAAATAAAAAGCATACCTTCTCTGATAGCTGTAAATGGAGTACCTTCTTCTTCCTGAAGTCTTATTACTTTCAGTGCTACTAGCTTTCCATTTACTCTGGAATAAAAAGACCAAAACATAATTATCTCAGCACTTTAGACTTTTCTATTTGCAGTACACAGAGCTTCTTATGATTAAGACTTTGTTATCCTCCATAAAAACAGCACATTACCATTTTAAAACCATTTTTTTAAATGTAATCTTGGGTATTTATTCTAATTATACTGTCACATTTTATTTGATGATTTAAACTTAAATAGACATTTATCATTTATTCCCAACCAAAATAGAAATAATGTCTACATAGGCTTTTATTGACCTCAGTATGCTTGTTTTCCAAACTACTGAATTAAGATGAAACAGATGTAGGAATTATAGTTGCTTTGTTGATGCAATTAAACTAAGGCTCATGGTTCATCCTGACTGAGTTTAAAATGGCAACATCCATCAACATCCATTATTTATAATTTTTGTCATTTCCTGGGAACAGAATAAACATGCTTACTTCTTTTATGCTTGGTAATGTTTCAGAACATATTATTTTATTGTGGATTTTTTTCTGTTTTGCTTTTGTAACTTGCACTTAATGTTAACTGTTTTCAAAAAGTGCCAGGTATGGCTATTACATTCCTTTTGTACTTTTTGTACTTTTAGATTATTCATTGGTAAATAAGGCAAAACCAAAAGGATTGTTTTTATTTGTATTCATAATAATTTGTATTTTAAATAATTTTCATGGCATATGTCTATGCTTTGTGGCTATGCTGTTATTTCCTGTCTATATAACAGCCAGAAGCAGAAAATTGGGATCTTATGTGTTTAAAAGTCATGGATAAACCCAGAATATCCAGAAATACATCAGTAAAACAGTACCCAAAATTGAGTTGCTGACAGAATGTCGGGAGAAGCAACAGACATGGGAAGATCAAGAAGAGGCAGTAGCATGGCAAGATGGGATTTATGTACCATCAATAGATAGCTGAGGTATCAGATATTGGGAAGTAGTATCAATGGCTGGAAAGGGCTAGACTGAAAGAGGCAATGATGATAGGAGGCCAAGAACACTGAGGTAATGATGATAGGAGGCCAAGAATAAGCACTAAGCACCAGATCTATAGAAGTAGGGGTTTAACCATACCAGCAGGACCCAAGGTACAGATCGCATAGAGAGGCCTCAGAGACAGTTCAATAAATAGTGCTGGGTATAAGAAGAAGCAGGAATAGCATACAATGAAAGGCACATCCAAGTAAAATTATAATCTTAAATTATAAAT